TGCCGCTAACAAAACGTGTAGGGCTCTCCAAAGTGCCATGTGACATACCCTTTAAGGTGCATACAATACTAAGCTTTAAAAAATAATATAGGTAGCCATATCTTACTAGTTTGCCATTATGGGTAGTTGTTGCAAGGCAAGGCAAGGCAAGTTTATTTATATAGCACTTTTCAACACAAGGCAATTCAAAGTGCTTTACAAAAAATGAAAGAGATTAAGAAAATGGCATTTAAAATCAGTCATTAAAAAGAAAAGCTAATAAAATAAACATTAAACACACTGCAAAGTTCTTAAACATAGGTTAGCTAGCTCACATGTCATACATTACAATGAGTCATGGATTTTAGTTTTTTTATGAAAAGGGTAATATATATTTGCTTATTATATGTTGGTTCAAATTCATGTTTATTTTGAGACAAAACAAAAAACACTTTTTCAAATAATAGTCGTCCCCCTATTGAAGACCCATGCATTACATAATGGATTACCATTCTCCTGTGTATTTGTTTTCACAGGGAACAATGAGCAGGTGGTGTTTTCTCCTTTGTTGAGCTTTTCTTTCTCAAACTGGTTTAAGCCAGTTGCCACTGTGCTGCTATAAACCCTGTTGCTGCCTCCTCCAATACAGTTGGAGTTTTCAACAGTAGCCACTCCTTTTAGTGTATACATGGAGAAGATTTCACCAGTAGTGTTAAGATATCTCACTTTAACACCATCAGTTTCTAAGCAGACCCCCCAGCTAACCAGGATAATTAATTGTGCAACGGCTAGGATGTAATTCCTCAGTGGCTTCCCAACTGTGAACATTGCCAATAAGGGTTTCCTTCCAAATTGCATCGACCACTTCTAGAAACTGAACCTTCTTTTCTGTAGTTGATGAAAGATGGTTTTGCCTCTCTGCTACTCGGGTGCCCGAGCCCACCACACCGATGTCTGGGCTACCGTGTTTCTTGGAAATGATGGACCTATTAAGCTTAGGGGGAATGAAAGGGGAGAAGTACAGTACAGTACATACATTCATATGATGAGATGTCTTCAGTTAACGCACAACATTAAATGCCAAGTATTCATACTTGCTGAATTACGGCAGGGAAAGGACTATCCCAGTGCGAAATCTCCAAAACGCAAGTGGATGATCTGGACAGTTTTTGCATGACGCCACTTTGACTCCGGTTGCGTGGCTTGTTTTAAATGTAATTCATTAGATTAGACTGTATTCCCCCAGGCAGTTACTGTAGGCATAACGTAGGATGTTGCCAAACTATCATATATTGGTCTTTTTACATGTATGTAAAAATGACTTAATTTGTAGAATATGCTTTTTTTGTTATTGGTTCTTGGTGTATCACATATGTTGAAATATTGCTTCATGTGGCAACAGTGGAGTTTTATTTATTTTTCATTAATAATGAAATATGCCGTACTCGAACACTGTTTGCCTACAGTTTGATATTGCTTGTTCCACCAAGATAGTTGTCCACAGAAATGAATAGACTGCCTTGTTGATGTGGTCAGTAAGTTCACTTGAGGTATCAGTAAGACAGCCTGACTTCCATTGGCAGCTTGGATTCCCTCAAGGGAGAGTGGCTAAGGGGAGTCAACAGGGCATGTTAAAATGCCTGATGAAGTGGGACCTGTGCCTTTAGCAGTGTGTAATGGCTCCAATGTTATTATCATGTCTGAACAAATAAATGGTGGGGCAGTGTTCTGAAGTAGCGGAGTCCTGCACCACTCCGCCTTTCTTACCCTTTTCTCCCTGCAGTCTGAATACAGGCAAGCCATGGCCTAGTTCACTTTAAAAATAATCTGCTAAACCAGGCCAATGCTTCCTGATTCACATTCCCTTTGTCCATTTGCGTAATTGAAACAGACCCAAGATCCTGATAAGAAGCCCCGACAGAATCATTTCTCAGACCGGAGCCAGAGTCACTTTATTTCTTCAATCTTAAAATGCCTTTTCCAAAACATTAGCTACTGAGGAAAGGGCGTGCATTAATCTTGCATCCCACTGTGATAAGAAACGATAATGAATTAAAGTTAGGAACAGTACTATTAGTCATGAGAATATTTAACTATGCAGATGTGTGCTTTGTTTTGTTTATTTTGCATCAGATGAACAAAATGCGTAGTTTCTTAACCACATGCTTCACTTCTCTCTTTGGCAGGTATGCTGCAGAATGGGAAGAAGTTTGACTCTTCTCGAGACAGGAACAAGCCTTTTAAATTCAAGATTGGTCGGACTGAGGTCATAAAGGGCTGGGAGGAAGGAGTAGCACAGGTAAGAGCAGAAATTCAAAACCCACAAAAAACTAGTTATATTGTAAGGCTTTTACTTAGATCTGTGATGTTTAAAGGAATCATACAAACCACTTTGTTACCGCTCTTATTCTTTTCAAACCTGTATTGTTCTGTGAGAATAAAGAAAAGGAGACATCTGAGACGTGAGTGTCAGAGACAATCTGCCATCCAGCATCATTTTAAAGTGATACTCCTCCCAAATCAAAAATGTGATACTACCTTTGACACCTAGCAAGTTTGCAAAGGTACTGCTTTGGTATCACTTTAAACTATCAAAGTTAATCCTTTTCTCAATGTCAGAGTTTCCTTGCATATTGTCATTCATCAGAGATGAAATGTCTAGTGAATTTTTTCAATTACTACTGTAAATGTTTCAAACGTTTGACGTAGCATTTTCCCTGAGGAACTGTTAAAACAAACAAATCAAGACAATGTTGGCTGTGCTCATTTTTCATCACAAGCAGATTTAATGTGACTGTTTGTTGAATATGTTAACATGCTAAAAAACAAAAGAAGGCAATTGTGAGTAGGGCTTTAAAACAGCATCAAAAAGTCATCAGCAGAATGCAGGGTAATTGTTCCCTTTTTGTTTCTGATCATCAGATGAGCCTGGGCCAGAGGGCCAAAATCACCTGCACACCAGATATGGCTTATGGAACCACAGGCCACCCCGGGGTCATCCCACCGAACGCCACACTTATATTCGACGTGGAACTGCTCAAGCTGGAGTGATGCCCGAGGTTTAATACAAATGTGGAGCTTAATGAGGCTGCGTTCGCCACAACCTGCTTCCACAGGGAGACCATACTCGGCTGCTGCCTCCCACCATCCACTTACTCTTCTTTTAAATTTACAGTCTTCTTTAGTTCAATATTTATACGTTTTTACTGCTGCTTTGTTATTGCAATTCTGTCATAATAGATAGAACATTCTAAGCATGCAAGACTTTTACACACACACACACCACAGGTAGGTTTTTGTTTGTTAGTCCGATATGCTATTTTGTTTCATTTCAATTTCAAGTTGTACATTTCGTTGAACCCATGAGGAAATCAGTCATCTGATTAAAAAGCACTACTTTGCAATCAAAACATATACTGCCTTACAGTTTCAACAACAGAGGATAATAATGTTGAAAATAAATACCTTTTGCTCTGTATCTTAACTGGGCATTATATACCACTGTCTGCATTGCCACTTTGATAAAGGTTTGTCCTGTTGAATGCTCTGAATGATGCTATGTGTAGTATATTTGATATCCCTCATAAACATTGACTGCAAGCGTACCCTATCCAACACTTTACAGAACTCTATGAGATCCGTTGCTAATATGACAATTTACAGACCAACTCTTGAATAAAAATGGCATGTATTGTGTTGAGAAGTATTTGTCCTGTGTGTAATTTATGAGCGAGTGTTGATAAAAACATTGAATAAATGACTTACATCATTTTTTTATAACATGTTTAACAGAGGCTGCTGCAGCAACATTGCCACCTCATGGCAGATTTTATGAAAATGCACCAGTAAATCAGTCTGAGTTGTTTATAGTGCTAATAATGAAGTATATTCTGTGAATGATAGTATCTAAACACATCAACATTATATCATATAAAACAACACATTGGTGTAAAAATTGCAATATACTTCAAACAGCTGACAGCTTATCTCTACGACATTCAACTATCTTGGATGTATTATTTACTTCCGGTGTGGCAGTTCAAAGTTGTCAGATAGAACGTAGCACGCTATTGGCTGACTGGCTGTTAATGTTGTGAAACTCCATTGGATAGACGAACACACGTCTTACGTCTTTCTGAAAAAGCACAACAGACGGCAAGGTCAGCAAATGCTCTTAAAATATGTAAAAATGTGTGCTAAGAAATATAGTTACGTGCTTAAAAAATGTCTTATGTGAGCGGACATCCATTTGGTTCCATAGATGAATGCTACTAGTTCAAGCTAACATCCATGCTCATGTTGTGTGCAGCAGTGCAAGTGTAGCTTACTTAACGTGATGTCAGCAATAACTTTGCAAGTTGTGCCTTTGTACTAGTCATTTCAATATGTGTTATATTATTGCATAGAGATGTATTCATCCTTTGACTTTTTGACATCTGTAAAATATGATATGTCCTAGTTAGGCTAGTTGACAATGCTAAACTAGAAAATGTGTTAGCTTTCAAATTATATGTCCTCTGTCAAGTGTCGATATCACGTTTATACATGCCTAACCATGTACTAAATATAAGTGACTGACAAGAAAAGCAGTAAAGGTAACTCCTGTGTCAGAGTATGCTATGTTAATGTTTAACCTCAGTCTATATCCAAGTTTCCACCAAAACAAAGTTAACTGTTAAAGGTATCAGCCAGGAGGAAACCAACAGTAACATTATCACTGTGATATGATGGTGCAGGGTTTATTATAACCATGCTGCAGTTATAGAGCAAAACATTTGCCCTATAACTCAGAAAATATCATATTTTGGAGCTAAGCAACGTTACAATGGCACAGTTGTAAAGGATTTGTAACACTATCACCATCGAAGCTGCAATAGGATGCATTTATAAGTCAATGTGTGTTGGCATAACTTACTCAAGCCCCAAACCATGCAACCTCTACACGTGTTTTCACCTTCATATCTGTTCCTCTTTGTCTATCTCAGGTGTTCCATGTGCATCTGATTGTGTCTACAGTAAGCATGCTGACTGCACAGAGAGCCTGTGCAGCGATGGCTGCCCGGCGCCTGGTTAGAGCTTCAGTCTCCTCAGCACACACACGCACCTCTCTGATCCACACTTCCCGACCGCGCCAGGACCAGGATGAGCTGCATGCTGAATGGGCCAGTCTGGCTAAGAAACAGCTGAAGGGGAAGAACCCGGAGGACCTTATCTGGCGCACGCCTGAGGGGCTCAACATCAAGCCTGTGTACACCAAAGCAGACTCAACTGACAGGCCAGATGAATTGCCAGGAGTTTTCCCCTACACTAGGGGGCCCTATCCTACAATGTACACCTCCAGACCTTGGACTATCAGGCAGTATGCTGGATTTAGCACAGTGGAAGAAAGCAACAAGTTTTATAGAGATAACATTAAAGGTAAGTGTGTCGCCTTGAACTTTTTCTATCCTTTATTGGCAGTATTAGTCTTCTGTCAATGCACAATTGTGGACATCATGTTCCTGTCATACATTTGGACTCAACATATGAAGCTGTTACATGTTCCTAGGACCTTGCTGTTTATTTATTCATTGAGTTGTTAGGTGATACACAAACATCAATTGAAGAAGATGAAAAGACTAAAACGACATGCAGATTTTTACGTACGGGTGTGTGCAGAAACTGCTTGAGGAGATTGAACCTTCTAGAAGGTCGTCAAGGGTCAACCATATAACACATTTTATATTTAAATCTACATTCATTCAAATACAATGGAAAATAACACAAAGGGAAAATAGAGGTCATTTTTTGCTGGCTTCATCCTTTAGTCTTGTGTAGGAGGGGGCACTCGAGATTTGACATTTAGAGCGCAAAAGCCAAACAATGCAGAACAAAGAGTAATTAGGAATGGATTCTAAAACTGAAGACCTTAAATCCTCCCACCACTATTTTGAGCAGGGTCTGAAAGTCAGTTCATTCCTCACCATTTCTACCGGCCAGTAATTTGTTATTGTTGTCTGCCAATCATGAAATCTTTGTAGAACACTTAAAAAAACGAGCCACTGGTGCCAAACAGTAAAAATATGGCATAATGTTACCTTATTCCCATTTAATTAAGTAATTGCTTTCTTCAAATAGACCCTCTGTTTCACAGGTGCTAATTTCCTTCCCTTTTTTGCTGTCTGTTGATGTTTTCTCACTGACCTCCATTCTATGACTCGTTCTTTTTCTGTATCTCCATTTCCCTATAGACCCTAATCCACTTCTGCTCTTTTATTTCAGCTGGTCAGCAGGGTCTTTCCGTGGCATTTGACCTCCCGACGCACCGCGGCTATGACTCGGACAACCCACGAGTCCACGGAGATGTTGGCATGGCCGGAGTTGCTATAGACACAGTGGAAGACATGAAGATGCTCTTTGATGGAATTCCACTGGAGAAGATGTCCGTTTCAATGACAATGAATGGAGCCGTTATACCTGTGTTGGCGATGTTTATCGTGACCGGAGAGGAGCAAGGCGTGTCCAAAGCAAAACTTACTGGCACGATTCAAAATGATATTTTGAAGGAGTTTATGGTACGCAACACCTATATTTTCCCCCCGGAGCCTTCCATGCATGCCATCGCAGACATCTTCGCTTACACCACCGAGGTAGGTACAACTTAAGAAGTGTTACTTAAGTACTTGGGTAATCTGCTTGTCAGGTGATCATCATATTGGGAGTTTAACTGATTTCAATTACTTAAATGTTCTCAGAACATGCCCAAGTTCAACTCCATATCCATCAGTGGCTACCATCTTCAAGAAGCTGGAGCTGACGCCATCCTGGAAGTAGCCTACACCATCGCTAACGGCCTGGAGTACTGCCGCACTGGTCTGAAAGCGGGCCTAACCATTGATGAGTTCGCCCCCAGGTACACCAATATTCACTTTACTTTTAGATTTTCTTTAAAAAAGCACAAGGGATGCATATGTGCCAACCGGACACAAAAAAGATAAGATTACATTTAAAAGAGGAGGATCCTTCTTTGAAATTAACAGTGAATCTACATTTCTTTGGAAATAGAAAAAGGGGATTTTAATAAAATCCCCTTACAAGCATCAAAATGTACACAGTGACATTTTGAATCTACATTTAGACCATATTGTATAGGATGTTTATATAATAATAATAATAATAATAGATTTAATTTGTTAGCACGTTATATGTACTCATTCATATCACCCTACAATTATTACATTTTAATAGATAAATAAATCCTTTACGCCAAATAAAAATAAAACTTTAAGGAAGTTAATTTATTTTGAGCCATTTTCATTGGTGCTATAATTAATAATAATAATGCTATAATATCTTCATTGTTTATATATTGTAAACTAAGTCGATTTACTGATTTATGGTAGGATTGTTTTTCTAATGCCATTTTCTGGTTGAAGCCTTTTTGCATGCCACGAAAAAACAACCGCAACCAGTCTTTATCTCACTTTGCACATTTGGTTTTGATTTGAATTTACATATTTGTATTATTATTTAGACATTTTATCAATACAATTATTCATAAATTATAAAAAAAAACGGCAGATAACAGATTATGAATATACTAATTTGTTGCACAGGGTTTAGGCTGAATAAATGAGGCCCCAGAAAATGATAAATGTGCTGTTTGGGAACATTCATTAAGGAATGTCACAAGGTAAAATTCAGCCAGGTATTTGTATTGACTTCAAAGTATATAAATACATACATATGGGAATAAATAATGACCTGATCCCAGTAGAGAGGCGAAGTCCCGCCCATCTACTTCCGACCCATGGGACCTTATTTCGGATAAATTATGTATTGAAGTCAATGGAGAGAGAAAGATTATCTTTCGATCCCGTTTGAATTGTGCCACGAATTACACATATTATGTTTGTCAATCTTAAAAAATAATTTCCATGTCAAAAAAAGTCACAGTTTGTTGTAAAACTGTTGAAATATAAGACTATGAAAAATACGCAACTAGAAAGACTACAAATCCCAGATTCCCGGTCCCGCATGCTGGCTCTTACGGAACCGACTAACTCCCCTTTTGTGTATGTACAGCTCTCAACATGCCCAGACTTGGAGTGATTTTCACCTCTTTTAATACTTTCCGCCTCATTCTGAAAGTAAGAAGTGAAATGAGCCAACGTGACGGCTGTCTTGGTGTGTGGTGCGAGACGGGAGATGTAGTTCATTGAGCGGTTTCACACAAAAAAGTGTTACTTCACAGTTTTACGACACATTTTTCTTTTTTTGACTTACAAAATTATCTTTTAAATTAACAAACATCATATGTGTAATACGTGGCACAATTCAAACGGAATCGAAAGATAATCTTTCTCTCGCCATTGACTTCAATACATACTTTTTCCGAAATAAGGTCCCATGGAGGTCCCCCAGAAAGGGAGGGACTTCGCCTCTCTGTTGGGTAAATTATGCTGGAAACTGCATCAATTGAAATACTAAAAAGCAAGCTAACACTCCAGAGAAGCAAGATGTCAGCCGTAACACCTGCCTCCAAAGTGTGACTGAGCTCTTAGCACCATGAGTGTCATAAAAGTGCGTTACTTACTGAAATTGACAGGGACTGCATCCACTTTACACTTATTCCCTTTAAAGAGGAGCTTCTGCCGCCACTCAATAACTACCCAGTTCAATATTTCCCCTCAGCTGGAAAAATTCAATGTCCTTTTTAATGACAGCATTCCTAAATACCAAAACACTCAGCCCTGCTATCCATGATTTGTATTTTTTTATTCAATTGATATTGATGCTATGCATGTTTGATTATTGCATAACATCTAAGCATGCGAGCCACATTTGAATGGCAAACAAAATACGATCGTCTTTATTTATTTAACCACCAGAGGGAAAGGCTATTGGTAAAATCAAACGGTACTGGGGTAATAGAACTTACCATTAAGCCCAAACACAGTGTGTGATACAGATATAATATAATATTTTATCTAAGGAAATAGAATAAAGTCAGGTCAAGCCCTTTGTCCAACATTTTTGCCGTAATTTGCTACTCTTTTCTTCACGGATGGAAAAAAGCTAATCAATTATTTCCCCACCGTTATGCATGCTTTATATGATTCTGATTGACTCCGTAGAATCACATTATTTCTATCCACTTCAAACTAAATTATCTATAATTTGGAGCTGATGTAGACAATAATACTCTTTTCAGTCACTAACACAACTGTACCAATTCAACATCCGTGCCCTCTCCAGTTCTTGTTCCTAGCTTTGAACTTCCATTATTTCCTGTTCGTGTTCCAATTACTGAGATAATGGTAGAAGACCGTGTGCATGCAATTCCCAGGAACGTTTCTGATGGGCCAGTCTCGCCTTACCTTTCTCCACGTAATGACTTCAGAGACAAGGTTCACAGCAGCCACTGCGAGTCAGTATAGAGATGCCACTGAATTGATTGAAATGTAAGGGTTTACACCCTAAGCTATTACCTCTTATTGTACAGACTCACAAGCAGCAGTTACCCTTAGAATCGCAGATATCGTGATTGTCACGTCATGCCTTTGGACCACAGTGGGAGAACTTTAATGTACTGTTTGAAGGTTGTGTGCTCCTAAAATAGATATTCACATACTGTATCACTTGAAGTTCCCTAAAAAGCATTATTTATTGTTTTATTTGATACATTATAAAACATATTATTAAGACAATTATACAGATTATTCGTCATGATTCATTCCATTTTGACTGTGCAATTACTTTGCTCTGGTTGATGCCCATTTTCATTAAATTACTCATCTGACATTGACTTTCCTATTCATACTTGTGAAGTAGTATACGTTATTTTCTTAAATGCAAATAACCTCTACGTAACTCTTTTGAATTGTATTTTGTTTTACCTGTAATTGTTACCACAACATGAAAAGTGTTCCCTGATGGCCAATCGATGTCATTGAGACTCTTTGTCTAGATCGGCTCCAATATATTTAGGTGTTTCTGCCTATCTACCTTAGCTTTTCTTTTTAATGACTGATTTTAAATGCCATTTTCTTAATCTCTTTCATTTTTTGTAAAGCACTTTGAATTGCCTTGTGTTGAAAAGTGCTATATAAGTAAACTTGCCTTACCTTGCCTTGCCTATCTATTGATAACAATGTTTTGCTACTAAACAGCTGACTAAAATGATCTAATGTGTGCTAATTCCACAAGTAGAATGTCTACTCCCAGCTGTTAAGACTGGGATGCAGTCCATGGGGTTGGACATATCTACACAGGGAAGCAATCGTCTTTCACAGAATCCACTATGTTGCGCTGCCGTGTTTCCACAGCAGCTGCGAACAGACTAATCAAACACGGCTATAAAAGGGCCAAACCTGTATTTGATGTTGCCTTACCTTGGATTTATTTGGTTCCATCTGCTTTTTGTAATAGTTATCATCGAATGAAGCATATCTATTTTTGGTTACTAGGATTCTGGCATAGATATAAAGCCTAATGAAACAAAAAGCTTAATACTTTAAGTACTGGCGGGTCTATGTCATGCTGTGTTGCGCCCATAAGACAAACTGGTTTTCTTTGTTGTAGAGAATTTCTCGGGAATATATTTATTTATTTATTTTTACTGTGTGTTTGTGTGTGGCCAGGTTGTCTTTCTTCTGGGGTATTGGAATGAATTTCTATATGGAAATCGCCAAGCTGAGGGCAGGCAGGAAGTTGTGGGCCACGCTCATTAAAGAGAACTTCCAGCCCAAGAATACCAAATCTCTGCTCCTCCGCACACATTGCCAGACCTCAGGCTGGTCCCTCACTGAACAAGTAAGTATACGTGAAAATGTCCAACTCAATCATAGCAAAAATGAAGAAAAGGAAATTAAGAACTTTCCCATGTGAACCCTCCCTTCAGGATCCGTACAACAATGTGGTCCGTACGGTGATTGAGGCCATGGCAGCTGTATTTGGTGGGACCCAGTCCCTCCATACCAACTCATTCGATGAAGCTCTGGGACTGCCCACAGTAAAGAGCGCTCGCATTGCCAGGAACACTCAGATCATCATCCAGGAAGAGTCGGGCATCCCCAAAGTCGCCGATCCTTGGGGGGGCTCGCACATGATGGAGTCTCTCACGGATGACGTCTATAACACAGCCTTAAAGGTTTGTCATGGCGACATATGGAAAATCTTTAACTCTTTTCTGTTTCCTGTTGAAAACCCAAGCGTTACATACACCTAATGACTAAATTAGAAGTAATCCATCATCATTGAGTCACCCTTTAACAAGCTGTGTTTTCCTTTGTATAGTTCATTCAAGAAATTGAAGAGGTGGGAGGCATGGCCAAAGCTGTGGCAGAGGGCATTCCAAAACTTCGTATTGAGGAATGTGCCGCTCGCAGACAGGCCCGCATTGACTCAGGTACTGTATGTTTACATCATAAGCTGATTGCCTTTAACATTTTTTAATCTTTCATATTTGTCCTCAGAATGGAGTTCTTAATGTGCTCTACTTCTTAACTTCAGAGCTGCAATGACATTTCAAATGGTGATTTCTTTCTTTCTTTTGGAAAAAGATAGAAATCTATTAACTTATTCTTGATCTTGTTTGTCTTTTTTTTAAAATATTTTTAAAAATATTTGTATTCACATGAAAAAAGTGTAACAGTGCATTACAGCAATTAAGGCATTTTCATTTTAAAGTAAAGAACCCTTACTCATTTTCCCTCAACCCCGCCCCATCCCAACCCATCCCACCGACCCCTCTCCCGGAGCACTGAGGCAACAGTACATCAATTACATACCAAATGATGGATACAATAATATACATGCACATACACGTACCTACATACATACATACATACATACATACATACATACATACATACATGTACACATACTAACACATATATCCAGGGATGTCACACGGGCTGCATGTGTGGTGGACAGGGGAGTAATCATATCGGAATTCTAGACAGATAAAGGGGGAATCCCTACAGCGAAACTATTTCAGGGGGAAGACGGTCTACATAACTGATCAGTGGCTTCCAATGAGCGTAAAACTTATCTGAGGAACCCCGGAGAGTAACGGCCCGTCCACACTTCAGCTTCGACAGCTTCAAAAACGGTTTCCAACGCGTCTGCCCATTCACTTTGAATGGGGTGACGTCACGTTGCCTCGCTTTTCGCCGAACTGAATTGTGGGTAGCATAGCGGTCCGTCTCCGGCGTCTCCGGCGTCAGAAGTTGATCAATGTTCAACTTCTGACGCCGGAGACGCCGGAGTAGCCAGCGACAGCCAATCAAATCCCGTTTCTGAAAATCTGACAGCTCAAGCCCTAGCCAATCAAACCGCGTCTAAGCTGGGAGAGATATCCCGCCGTTTATTTCTATATTTAAAAAAAAGATGGACGAGAAACTAATTATCGCCGTAGCAAGTCACCCGGTTTTGTATGACCAGACCCTCTTCACCTACCGGGATACAAACCGGAGGAACCAGGCATGGAGGGAGGTGGCAGAGACTCTTGTACCCAAAAGTGATCAGATAAAACATCTCTTAACAGACTCTAACTTGGACTATTTATGTTTGTCAGAGACTTGGTTGAATAAAAACTCCCCATCCTCAGCCATACGTATTCCTGGCTACAATGTTTTTAGGAAAGATAGAGCTGTGGGCAGGGGTGGGGGGTTACTGTTTTATATCAAAGACCACATATCATGTAATGAGGTTCAATGCTCTGCTGAGAATGAGCTTGAGCATATCTGTCTTAATGTTAGCCTGTCACCACAGATGTCTTTCATTCTCATTGGAGTGTATAGACCACCATCTGCAAAAGCAATTTTTTTTGACAAATTACAAAAAATGCTTAGAGAATGCAGTTCTGCCAAGGAAATAATATTAATGGGTGACTTCAATGTTAACTGGGAGGACAAAGCAAGTAATAAGACACTAGAACGGGTATCTAATCAATTTGATCTCACACAATTAATTAAGGGGCCTACTAGAATAACCACATCCTCAAAAACCCAGATTGACCTGATTTTCAGCAACAAACCTGAAAGGGTGACAAAAACCTACAATATTATCACTGGTCTGTCTGACCACAACCTAACTCTCATAGCCAGAAAGCTCACTAAATCCCGTTTCCATTTGAAACCCAGTACAAAACCTACCAATTAAGAATACCCAAGAGTGATATTGATGAATTTGACAGGGAAATTAAAAACATTAACTGGAGCCAAATGTTATCAGGTACAGATGTAGATACCAACACACATGCCCTTATGTCAACAATCCAAAACATATCAAAACGATTCCTCAGGAAAAGCAAATGTAAGGCCAAAAATAAACATACCCTCCCCTGGATTAATAGTGACATCAGGAAATCAATGAAGGAGAGAGATAATGCTCTAAAGCACTCTCTTAAGTCAAATTTAGTGACTGACAGGCATATATTTGTGTCCTTACGAAACAGAGTTACAAAGGAAATCAGGGCAGCTAAATCCAACTTCTTTGTTAATCTCATTCATGAATCTAAGGGAAATCATAAACAAATCTGGGACTGTCTGCAGAACCTAACAGGGAAAGGGCATAACATAACAAAGCAGCTGGAGATCAGTAACAATGGAACCTTATGTAAGGGGCCAGCAGAAATAGCGGCTATTTTTAATAACCATTTTATTAATTCTGTGAGGCTGACTATAAACAGTCCCCAAATTGGTCAAATACATTCATCACCTATTGATTGTACACAGCCAGTCTTCTCCCTGACAGAGACTTCTGAATCAAAAGTTAATTCTATAATTTCTTCTTTAAACAATTCCAAATCAAAAGATACTTTTGAACTGGATTCTCTGTTTCTAAAGAAACATGCTACTACCCTCACAGGGACAATTACCAAAATAATCAACACCTCTTTTAGGGAGGGAAAATTCCCAAAAGACTGGAAGTTAGCCATTGTTGTGCCAGTCCACAAATCCGGGGACACAACTGATGCAAACAACTATAGGCCCATTAGTATTTTACCTGTCATGTCTAAGATCTCTGAGAAATGTGTAGCTGAGCAATTGACTGGACATCTTAACAGTAGTCCTTTCACACTACACCCCATGCAATTTGGCTTCCGAGCCAATCATTCCACTGAGACCGCAAATTGTTTCCTTGTGGAAAATATTAAATAAAAAATGGACAAAGGAGGCATTGTTGGAGCAATCTTCTTAGATCTTAAGAAAGCTTTTGATACAGTCAATCATCAAGTACTCATTCACAAAATGTCCTATTTTAATTTCTCACCCAGTGCAATAGACTGGATGAGCTCCTATCTGTCAGACAGAGTTCAGTGTGTAAGGGTAAGTGGCGAGACATCACCACCCCTGAGGAATGAACTGGGTGTACCTCAGGGATCTATCCTGGGCCCAATTCTATTCAGCCTTTATATAAATGACTTGCCATCAGTGTGCACTGGATGTGAGGTGCAAATGTATGCTGATGACACTGTCATTTATGTCCATGCAAAAACCAAGGCCCAAGCTGCGGCCAAATTAAATGATGCAATGGTTCATGTAAATCAATGGCTTACTGACTCACAGCTATATCTGAATGTTAAGAAGACAGTCTGTATGTTTTTTAGCAAGACCAACACTGTATCACACTGTGAACCCAAGGTCTATGTGTCTGGGAAGGTCATTCAAACAGTTACACATTTTAAATATCTAGGCATTATCCTTGACACTACTCTATCCTTCAAAAAACAAGTGAGAAAGGTAATGCAAATAACTAAATACAATTTAGCAAACTTTAGATATATAAGGAACTGTTTGACAACACCTGTAGCAAAACTCTACATGACTGCCATGATCCTTCCCCACCTAACATACTGTATGACCAGCTGGACCCAGGCGAATAGCACAACCTTAAGGCCTATCCTGTCACTTTACAAACAAGCTCTCAAAGTTTTGGACAGAAAGCCTAAGCTATACCACCACTGCAAAATCCTGGACAAACATAACCTGCTCAGCTGGGGAAATATTTTAAAACACACTGATGCATGTCTCATTTTTAAAATTCTAAACGGCAAGGCACCCCCACCACTCTGCACTTTTATACAGCAGAAAAACTCAAACAGCAGAACCACAAGGTCTGCCCTAAGAGGGGACTGTGTAGCCCCTCTTAGGTCCAGTTCCTTTGGCAAACAGTGTTTCTCTGTGAGGGCACCAACACTCTGGAACACAATACCAATACAGATAAGGAATAACACCTCCTATCATACATTTAACCACTATCATAAGAACTGGCTTTTAAACAATCAAAAATGTGAACACTTTTAACTGTATCAAGGTATGATGATATTTCATCTGTTTGCATGTTTGTTTGTTCCTCTCTATTGTTGTACTGATGTTTATTTATTGTTGTACTGATGTTGTCTGCTGTACTCTATTTAATTATGTTTTTATTTTCTAGTCTTGTTGTGGCCATTTAACATCTTGCCAAGGACAACAGTTGAAAATTAGCCTGCTGGCTAATACTGGCTCATTTACAGCAATGTGAATTAATGTGCACTGTCCTTTAAATAAATAAACAAACAAACAAACAAACAAACAAACAAACCCCTGACGCGTCCCGCGGAAAAAAGGGAAGAATTTGGCGCGCTGGGTGTTCGTACATACAGAGGAGTGAGGAGAAGAGTACAGAAGTCTAGATCTAGATCGGTCTAGTGGTGGGTCTATAACACAACTCATATCTCCTCCCAGTATCAATAGGTGGGAACTCAAATCGGGCATGGTGAAGAATAGCGATTTCACAAAATGATGATCATCCCAATTGGGAGCATACACAGAAACTAAGATGACCGGCTTCTGATAGAGTGTGCCAGAATTAGAAATGATGACATAACGTCCATTTGGATCTAAAATTGTATTAGTAGGGGTGAAATTTACTTTTTTCCAAACTAAAATGGCTGTGCCCCTTGTTAAATTGCGAATTAAACATGTGTCCAATCCACGGCCTATTCAGCTTTCGCTGATCAGAGTTACAGAGATGTGTCTCCTGTATAAACATTATATCCGCATTCAGGTTTTTAAGATGTCATAATCTTTGTGCGTTTCACCGAAGCATTCAACCCACCAGTGTTCAAAGAGAGTATCCTGACCGCCTGTCCACCACAAGTCTCTGTCCCTGTACCAGTTACATTAGCCATGACACCGCGTACAGCATCGAAAGTGTCAGGTCAGCCCTAGAACATCCACAACTAAAAATGGAGAGAACAGTGTACATAAAGATGACAAAACAGAATGTAAATGAAACAGCTGCCTCAAACAAATGGAAACCTATAGCCCCATCAAGATAAATGCTCCGCCCTCTCCCTCCCATCCTCTACTCCCTCCCACCTCCTCCCATGCCCTAGCCCCCCTCCCTCCCCACCCCTTAGCTCCATCTGCCAATGAAATTGGCAATAACTTCCCTACCTGAATCATCTCTCCTTCTTCAAGGTGTCTCAGTACCCACATCATGCAGATACAACCTCCTTAATAAGTGTAAACAATCGTGAACAGCATATGTTAACAAGAACATTGCAAAAGTGCAAGAACATCCCAGGTATAGAGTGTAAATACAAACATTAAAAAAATAAAATAAAAATAGATGTAAACATGTCACATTGTGTGCTGTCTTGGCCGAGTAACGGTAGTTATAAAATAAATGACGTCCCAACAGAACGACGGCTGTAAAGTGCCCAGAAACAATTGTGAACAGCATGTGTTCACAAGGACATTTGAAAAAGTGCAACAAAAGTATTAATACCTTTTGTAAAATATGCCGTCAGTTTTACCTTACTTGCAGGTTCGACAGCTAGTGCTTCCCGTCCAATAAAACTTCTCTTTAATGCATTCTCAGCCAGTCATCATGTTAAAAATGACATTGATAATGATGAAATATTCACTTTCAGACAATGATTCACTAGCCAACTTGTAGGTTGTTAAGGCTGTGTTCACTTAATGCAATGGTACAGAAATAGATAAATAGGGATATTAATCCCAGATCTTATTTCATGCTACATCTTTCTCCTTGGCTCTTCTTCTTGACATGCAGATACTGGGAACCACCATCAACCTGATGTTTAAATGCCCTGATCAACACATCCATAATGTCTATGTTCTTCCACACTCAAACCTAAAGCTCAGGCTCAAACGGAAGACAGAATAATGATTCCAGAACACATGAATGCACCATTAACCTGCTGTTCTATTGACTCTAGTCCGATTTAATCAACGCTCATTCATTCAGTCCTGTTGGGTGTGTAGACGCAGCTTCCTACGTATTGATCGACCGCACTACTGTACAATGCGTACAATCAAAACAAGTGGGAAAAATCTTGGATTGATGAATACTGGGTCCATTCAACAGCCTTACCACGGTACATAGCGGACATTGAAAAGAGTGGTTGACATTGTTTTTGACTTTATTTTTGCACATTACAATTACAGCACTGGCCCTATCACCCGCAACTATAAGAAAGGGCCCTTTATCCAAACATGTGCCCTGTCAGCCCTGCTTGACCCAATTGAATGGAGAAAGGCTACCATAAGATGATAAGAAAGCAGCTGAGCTCAGGCATCACGGCTTGATTTATACTGCCAGTGTGTATTGTGTTGTGTTGCATGAAGAGCTAGGTCGTGTGTAGGCACTTTGTGAGGTTGTTATCAGAAAGTTAAACAAAATCTTCTTTGTGTCCTTTTGGAATTGACTAAACTTGCGTCCCATGAGGGTAGAAACAACTGCGATTGAGCAGAGCAGACCGTTGACTGTGAAGCTATCCTCCATAATCCCCCTGATAGAGGCTCTCATTTATATTCATTGGCTTTCTGAGTCACCCTAGCAGCACATCTCTACATCCGACATTTGTCTTCACGTCTGATGGGCATTGAATCCTGATCGACCATGTGAGGCTCTCTAATATTTTTGAATAAGTCAAATTGAGAGATTTTAAACAGTTTGGAGAATATAGAGATTTGTGAGCGTCCTCCTGAATTCTGTGTATTTGATTTTTAACACTATTTCAAGATGAGCAATAAGATAGCCCTGAAATATCTACATTTTAATGTGGCCAAGAAGAATATTATGACTGTTAGTTTAACATCTAGTTATCCCCACTGTTGCCCCTGCACAACTTTATTCTTTTGGTCTAAAAATGGTCTGAATATGGTGAAAAATGTCCATCCGATTTCCCCCAATTTCAAGGTTGTGTCTTTAAAGGTCCCATGACAAGCTTTTCCGGTTAGTACCCGTCCCTTTGTGTGTTATGTAGCTTTTATGCATGTAAACGGTCTGCAAAGTCACAAATCCTCAAAGTACACCCTGTTGCGAGTAAAACTAACACAGAAAAGACCAGTCTATGCTGCCCCAGAACGCCTCGTTGGAGATTTTTATCACACACAGACACTCACTCAGCCTTATCTTTTCTCAGCCGCGGTACTCCGTGGAGCTTCGCCGGCACACACACACTCAGCCTTATCTTTTCTCAGCTGCAGCTCCGCACACACACACGGCCAGCCTGTCTGTGAGTGTGTGTGTGTGTGCTCAGGCTGAGTTCCGCAGTGTCTCGCTGTCTCGTAGACCCCACGCAGCAACCAGGAAACTACACCAGTAATCCAGCTCACACTGTCTGCTCCTCGAGCCTCAAAGGGCGGAGCAGCGAGCCCCGTAACGTCCCGCCAACACGGCACCCAGACCCCACGCAGCATTCTCATCCGTTTGTCATTACTGGTGTCATTTCCTGGTTGCTAACGCAATTGTAACACCTAATCACTGATGTTCCGCTGTAACGGTGGTCAGAACAGAGTGGGCGAGCTGACCAATCAGAGCACAGTGGGCTTATAGGGAGGGGGGGGGCAGGAGCTCCAACAAGCCGTTTAGGACAGAGAGTGAATACACATACTATACAGAGATGCTGTATGAGAAACCAATGTGATTGTGGAACATTGAAAAATGGAAATCTATTCTAGTAGACCTCAACAATGGAATTATGATCAGTAGAAATGGCCATGTCATGGGACCTTTAAATGTGTTTTGTAAATCCAAACCCAGGGCCGGCCCTGACCAATTTGCTGCCCAAATGCAGACACTTACACTTACTATGACTCACGCGTGCACGGTTGTGGCATGACCACCAAAACAGGAAGATATGGACACAAGATGTGTGCAACTGTATTTAGTTTCCTATCCATTTGAACATGATTTAAGTGGGGGTGGGGACCTCACGGGGGTCCGGGGGCATGCAACCCCGGGAAGACTTTTTTTATTAATATTGAAGTTAAAAGCATCAATCTGGTGCACTTTGAGAGCAACATTAGGAAATCTATGGATACATCTCTCAACACCCATATGAAACAGAACTGTAAGAAGATTTTCTTTCTTTAAGAATCACTCCCCTTTCAAACTGTATTCTTGTAATAACAACTTTTTTGTACTGTCATATAGTATTTTATACCTGTTTTTCACCTATTCTCTTATTTTTTTATAACTATAATGATCATATAAAGGTGTGCCTTTACCTCACTGAGCTGAGGTTATCAGAGCCGCTCAGTCTTTCAGGAGAGAGCTCTCTAAAGCTCTCCCCCCGCGGCCGCTTACACAGTAAATTCCAATGTTAATAAAAGCACACAGAAGCTGTGTACGTTTTTTGGGAGTTTGATTTATTTTAAATTAACACAAATACAAAATTAAAACTTATAATTGCACACTAAAACCATTATTTCATAAAAAGAACAATTTCACATAAACCTCTGGTTTTTACTGGGGCTGGGGCAGTTCAACTTGATTTTGGGGGGGGGGGGGGGTGTTCTATAGTTTATGGGCGCTGTATGCAATATAGGCGTAGTTCTGTTAGTATAAGATAATAAGATGTACTTTGTTGATCCAAAATCGGGAAATTGTGTTATGAAATAAAAAAAAAAAGTTTTTTAAATTTCTAACTTCTTTTTTTTTCTCCCCAATTTTCGGCGCCCCCTATGGGTTGATGCGCCCTTAGCATTCACCTATACTGCCTATGCCGAGGGCCTGCCCTGTCCAAACCAAAAGATAATCTGTTTAATATATTATGAAAAAGAACAGTCAAGATATATCTGTATTGGGAGGCTAAAAACTAGGACTAAACTATTATTAGAAATGTTATCGAAATTGCAATATCAAGATGGCAAGAGACGCAAAATGTTATTGGCAAAATATATGAATACTATTCTGAAATGAAGAATTGTGGGGCTGCAAAGATTTCCTGGCCACAAACTCAAGAAAAGATCTTACTTTGGCACGAATCCTTGCAAAAAAAAGGACACCATAATCATTTAAATATTTTTATTTTATAACATTTTAAATAATAATGCCAAAATGACATTCAATCTAATGTCATGAATCACACTGCAATTGAGATATTGGTCTAAATCAATTCAATTAGATATTATTTTTGAATGTTTCCGCCCTACTTAAAACTGCATTATCTGCTATTTTTGCATAAAAAACGTTATTGATTAATTGATAATAAAAATAGTTACCCGTTTGTTTTTTGTCGATAAACAAATCGTTTAATCGACTTATCATTGCAGCTCTACTGATAGGATACGTTCCATAGAGTTTCATTATGTAACAATACAAAAAGGAAGTTTCATTGTTAAAGGAAAAGAGATAATGTTGATTCTGTTTTTGAATATGTTTCAGCTTTCTGTTATCTGTTGTGTTCAGCTTTTTGGAAAACACCTTGAAAGAGACTTTGCATTGTAATTGGACCCACTGATACATGTTCTCCCCCCCCCCCCTGTTGTCCTTCAGGATCAGAGATTATTGTTGGGGTTAACAAGTACCGGCTGGCGAAAGAGGAAACCGTGGAGGTGCTGGCTATAGACAACACTGCTGTGCGCCACAAACAGATTGACAAACTAAAAAAGGTCAGTGATCCTTTGACAATGAAAAAGATAAATTCATCTATTGAAAAACACTGATGTTATTGCATCCTAAGGTATTGCCACCACAAATACATTTGCATGCAAAGATAGGAAAACATTGGTACGGCTGACTCACCAAGTAGAAGTGATGTGTTGCGATGCCCTGCTCTATAGTAAACATACAAATCATCCATTATTTGTGTGGTTTGTTTGTTTTGGTTTGTTACATTGTTGATAGTAAAGACACAGAAAATAGTGAAGGGAGTAACATGCATAAGAAGTAGAGTTCTTACAAGTTAAAGTTGAATTACTGTTTATTATCTTTAAATGATCCTCATATTGATATTGTGATCCACATTATATGTACCATAATCTGTCAGCACAGTATATTATCCATTTTTTTCAAAAAATCTAGAGATGTTTATCTAGTGATGGTTAAATTAATGTGCGTTAATTGTGAAGTTTGACATTTTACTATTATTTTTAATGCTTTATCAAATATCCTCATATTCTAATATCATCAATTTACCAAACCGCATGAAGTATATGCTAGAGAACAATGAATTACATTTAAAATCGTTAATGACAGGAAGATAAATGAACCATCATTTTCTATACTCTACTTGAATTAATATTTACAATTGAGAAATAATGAATAGAGGTCTCAACAAATGCAGTTGAGGAACTCTGTGTGGAATTCTTAGTTAGGGAAATCAACAGAATTACTCTTCCCATATTTTTCTATTTTTCTGTCCGTTATATGTACTATTATAGTGACTAGTTAATTCCCTTATTTCCATCTTCTAATCTTTAATGATAGTTTTGAATCAGATCTTCTTGAAAATAATTCCCAAAGGTTATGTCAGAATGCCTTTCTATAGGGGAATACAAACACTGGGGAAAAAAATGTTGCTTACCATACTGGCGGTGATAATAATAACTTTGATTAATAATAATGGCTGCATTCCATTCCACTCAGCCATTTTCTTTACCACTGTGATATTTTTGTAGTCCTAAAGATTCCTTAAACACATTATTTTGTATCCCTTTATACATTCATATATTATTTATAATGAATTCTATTGGTGTTAAAAATGTTGTTAGAAAAATAACTTGTTTATGACTCCTGTCTCTGTCGCAGGTGAGGGAGACTCGTGACCCAGAGGTGGCAAATAAGTGCCTGGCAGCCATTGAGGAGTGTTCCCGAACTGGAGAGGGCAACCTTCTCGGCCTGGCTGTGGAGGCAGCACGAGCCAGGTCAGAACTCCCTCAGTCACTAAAACCTCTAACTGTACTGACCATCTTTTTGTCTGTGCATCTTAAAGAAGATATATTATGCTCATTTTCAAGTTTGTATTCATATTTAGTGTCTCTACTGTGACATGTTTCCATGCTTTAATGTTCAAAAGGTCTTTTATTTTTCTCATACTGCCTCTTTTCACCCTCCGTCTGAAACCAGAGCTCAGTCTGCTCTGATTGGTTAGCTCAGGGGTCTGCAACCTTTTTGACCAAAAGAGCCATTTTGCTCCTTTTTCCAAAACATTTTTTTGTCTGGAGCCGCAAAACATATTTCATAGTTTTTTATTGTTATATGCTTATATCAGACAAAAACTACCGTTTTTTTGCATTTATTAGGCTATTTATTACATGATATAAAACTGTTAACCTCTAATAAGAAACAAAGAACTCTTATAAGGAGAATTACAAATAATACACAGGCCCACTTTAAAATAAATTAAACACAGCACTTGGGGAGTCCTCTGCACATTTGAAGGGAAAACAAATATTATTAAGATGGGCCCACTTTGAAATAAATAAAACATATAGCTGCACCCTAAAAAGAGTTAACGTGTAGGTAAGAATGGAGAAACCAGCTCGAGTTCGCTAGAATTTGAAAGTACACAACCGGAAAAAATATGCCTCTTCCTTCAGACTAGGCTTGTTTGAGACAAGCGAGACCTGCGCAATTTCGATCAACGTCTTGCTAGTGCGTTGCATGATGGTTAGTCATTTTGTCCGACTTGCTCTGGAGGCTCGCCTACATGAGACGTTGAAATCTCGCGGGACAAAGACGCCCGCAGCCTTGAGAGCGAGGCGAGGCGAGGCGGCGCAGTTCCTCTCCACGGGCTGCGGGAGCGAAATGCTTGATGGGAAACGACTCGCTAGTATCTCGAGCTGAGCGCTCATTGGTGGTTTTTACCTCGTGCTGGTGATGAAACTCTCCAATTGGCTCGGCAAAAGTTTGTTGTTTTGTGTCAGTTTTACGTCGCCCCCTCCATTAACATTTTTCATAATTGTTCCACAATGTTTATCATCATGAAATTCATATCTATATATGTTATACTATATTTGCACTGCTTACCGTTTTCATACTTTATATATCTTAGCATATTCATACACACTGTATCGACAAGACACTTGCTTAGACACATTAATGGCTCAGTCTCCAACCAAGCCTGAGATCCTCTTGCCTTCTTCTTGTTATTTAAGTAATCCTAAGAGAATATTCAATATTCTATGACAAGATACTAGAAGTTCGGTCCCTGGTATCTGACAGGTATCCACCTCAGGACTCCCAGAGGTCCCTCCTGCTCTTTGCCTCTCTGTCAACTTTGTCCTGGTATTATCGGTCGAGCAGATACCGGAGGAGTGAGAGGAGAGGGAAAGGCTAAATTAATTAGAACTCAGGATCCAGATAAATAATTCCCTATCAAATGTAATTGGTTGCCTTAATGTTCACTCATGGCATATCGTTTCTCCATTGTGCATAATACTTCACAAAGATGTTCTCTGATTATCTCTGACCGAGTGAAAGAAAGTCCCCCTTTGTTTCAGACTGACGCTTTGAAGATACCTACGCACGCATGCTCCATGCAGTAAAACAAAAACCATCTTGATAATCATATTTTTTCTTCAATGCTCTTTTTGTTTATCAACCTCTGGCAACATGTCTTGCTTAATGTTCATCTTACTTGAGGCTGTCATGCGGAAAGTCATGTCAGAGTCAAACTCATCTGTGGCAAGACCGCAATTGTAGGAAAACTATGTTTCTGTTTAGTTGGATACTTAATAATCTGATTTGAATCAAGTAACTGTGTGTGAGGCAAACACACACGTGGATAACCTGACTACAACACTGATACTGTTGAGCTGTTTCCACGAATAAAGAGCCCACCTGCTGATCAAAACCCACAAACTGTGAGGAGTTTCCACAGCATGAGGCACATTCCCTATAACCACTTCAACATCCTGTGCAATTGTAATACCGTTTGACCTTTACTCTAAATTAAACATACATCATACTTTGTTTTGAGTACAAGTGACTCACTCCTATTTTATTCAAGAGCTGCCATACAGAACACAAAAGCTTCTTGATCATTGCTTTTTTATTAGCCTTAATGCAACACTGATATTGTGGAAATGAGACTAGTGTAAATCTTGATGCTGTGTGACGCAGAAGGCTCTTCTATAAATAATAATGAAACATCCTGCAATGAGATGAAAAAGCAGAGACATTAGCATTCAGTTTAAATTATGTAGATATCTTGAACTGAACTGAACTGAAACCATTTGAACTGCATCTCCTTGAATTATTGAGCATCATTTAGTGAAAACACATTGAGAAAGATGCTGTCTTCTTTTTTCATTACAGGTGTTCGGTTGGTGAAATAACTGATGCAATGAAAAAAGTGTTTGGTGAACACAAAGCCAGTACCAGGATGGTGAGCGGTGCTTATCTCAGCGAGTACGGAGCGCACGAAGAGATCTCTGCGGCACACAATAGGTAGAAAATGCATCTAATCAGTATCTTCACATTCATTATGCTCTCACTGATTGCTGGGCTGGTTGACTTACATGCGTTTTTTTCCTATTTCTCTCGTCTTCAAATCTCAGAGTTGCAGAATTTAAGAAGCACGAGGGCAGGAACCCCCGACTGCTGGTAGCCAAAATGGGGCAGGACGGTCACGACAGGGGGGCCAAAGTCATCGCCACAGGGTTTGCCGACCTGGGCTTTGATGTGGATATCGGACCACTGTTTCAGGTCAGTGTGAGACAATAGCTATTCATCTGCTGCAGTACAACACCACAGTTAAAATCTTCCCAGAAGCAGTTGCTATACCCAGAAGCTACCTTTTAAGCAAGAGTTGGTCACATAAAAAACCAAAAAACAAATTGTATTTGTGCAGTAATTGTAAAATGTAAAACTTATAGTCAGTATAAAAGGTAAAGGGTAACTATAAGTTATTTTTAAGATCTGCTTGACTTGATCAAGATACACCTATTATTATAGATGGATTTTTGATGGTTAACCGAACATTTCTTAAAGATACTCGAGTAATATTAAGTAGGTGTCTACTAGACTGTAGCCTACGTGATAAGATATTCAATCAATCTTATATGACTGAAAGACTGTTTTCTGTAAGAATGTACAAGTTGGCAAACTCTTAGATGCTGAAAGGACTCTGAATTGGACTTTATTGAAACCAGGTGCACTTAAGTATTAAGTATAAAAAAAAATCTTACTCTCCCTTCTAACTGTAGATTTTTGTGGTAATAATGCCTGTTTGCAACGTTTTTTGATATGTGAAGGATCCTGCTTGTGTTTATGTCAGTATGTAGTCTGTTGGTAAAATTATAATTAAATATGTATTTAGTAGGCAGTGATTATATACTGATGGATGTACCTGCTATTTTGACCACAGCTTTAAACGTGTCAGACGCAAGTGCAGCACATAAACCCTTAATTAATCACTACATTCCATTCAGGTGTGTCAGTGTAATGTTCCTGTTATTGTGCATGTTCACTTACAGCAGAGCTTACAGGCACATTACAATGGTACAATGGCGTTGGTAATCTAATTAGATGCACCTGTGCTTTCCCTTAACCAATGAAATATTTACTGAAAGAAAAAGACTGAAAGCCTTTTCATTGCGTCCTTTCTCCGTGTTAAAGTATCATTAAATCACCCAAAACATGCAACACATCTTATGTCATACGGAACAATTTAATGTGTTACCTGAGAGCAAAACAATTATTGTGTGTCATTTTTTCTTTCAGAGCAACGTCTTTTTTTAGACGAGAAAGTAACAATTAAAATTCCCATTATGTGATTAGTTATTTGGAAATTAACACCAATTTTTGGAGCTGCTGTGTGTGAGAGTGGCTGGTCAGTGCACAAAAGCAAATGTTGACAAAATGTTATTGTAGTGACTTAATGGTAGACACAGGTCCAGACTGTTTCACTATTGAGTATTTCATAAAAATACTAATAATAATTTTGATCAAGAGCCATACATTTGCCGACAGATAGCTAAAGCTAGCTAGGTCAATGGCTAACGTTAGCTAGTTAGCAAGTGTTAACTAGCTAGCCTGTTCATGTAAGCCAGTGGTTCCCAAAGTGGGGGGCGCGCCCCCCCCCTGTCATGCCTCTGCGGGTTGGTTATTAAATTATTTATTTTTTAAATCATAATTTGAAAGATTATTGATTCGAAAATAATATGATACAGTACTATTACGTCTGGGTCTCTGTGTTTCAATAATGTGTGTGTGTGTGTGTGTGTGTGTGTGTGTGTGTGTGTGTGTGTGTGTGTGTGTGTGTGTGTGTGTGTGTGTGTGTGTGTGTGTGTGTGTGTGTGTGTGTGTGTGTGTGTGTGTGTGTGTGTGTGTGTGTGTGTGTGTGTGTGTGTGTGTGTGTGTGTGTGTGTGTGTGTGTGTGTGTGTGTGTGTGTGTGTGGTGTGTGTGTGTGTGTGTGTGTGTGTGTGTGTGTGTGTGTGTGTGTGTGTGTGTGTGTGTGTGTGTGTGTGTGTGTGTGTGTGTGTGTGTGTGTGTGTGTGTGTGTGTGTGTGTGTGTGTGTGTGTGTGTGTGTGTGTGTGTGTGTGTGTGTGTGTGTGTGTGTGTGTGTGTGTGTGTGTGTGTGTGTGTGTGTGTGTGTGTGGAGCCATTTTGTGTGCGTGCGCGAGAGAGAGAGCGCATCAGTACCGGAGATCGTAGTTGTTAGCTTCTGGTGCTAGCGAGCTACGCTAACGGATATAAAGAGTTTTTTCAACAACAAAGTGGAGGAGAGTCCTCTCCTGTCAGACTGAGAGACTCAGTGAACCAAAGGACTCTCTCAGTGTTTAGATAGTTAACTTTAGTCTAAGTTATCTTAGTGGGTCTCAAACGTTTTGGTCACCAGGCATTAATGTAAACAATTATTTCCGAGGCACACGTTTATATGATCATTATAGTTATAAAAAAATAAGAGAATAAAAGAAAAACAGGTATGAAATACTATATGACAGTAAAAAAAGAATAAAGTTTAAAAGGGTGATTTGTAAAATATCCATAAAGAAAAAGTAAATCTGTTAACAGTTCTGTTTCATATGGGTATTGAGAGAGGTATCCATAGATCTCTTCATTTTGCTCTCAAAGTGCACCAGATTGATGCTTTTAACTTCAATATTTAAAAATAAATCTTCCCAGGGGAGCTTGCCCCCAGACAAAAATAGCACTTTACCCCTGCTTACACCTATATGCCTCGAGCCTTCATTGTAACTGTCACACTGTGTATTTGCGTGGGGAGTGTTGCAGTAGAAAATTCCACTGTAGCGACCGGTACATTAATGGGAAACCCTAAATGTTTGAGCACCCTCTATGAAATGTCAAGCTACCCCACAGCACCCCAAAATAAATATCTGGCGCCGCCACTGAGCATGACTATTTGTGTTGGGGGGGCCAGACTTATTTTTTTCTCCAAAGGGGGGGCCTGACAGAAAACGTTTGAGAACCACTGATGTAAGCTAGCTATCTAACTGCACACTGAAAGGTTGATTGATTTTGGTCTCTAGATTAATATATGTACTTTTCAATACTGTTGAGGTTTTTTCCCCTTTTGCAGTGACAGTTATTACAAAAACACTTACGATAAATCTTGCTTTAGGAAGGAGCATCCGTCGCGCTGATATGCCTCGTGCTTCCATAGTTCCTCATAGTGGAACCATCTACTGGAAGAGACACTACAAAGTTACTTACTGTAAAATGTTCTCACATGTGATTTCTAGCCATTCTGATTTTGTCGGCTCAGGGAATGTGGTACTGTAGAATGTTCCAATGGCAGCATTGAAGCTGTGAACATATCATTCATTGTTGATAACGCTGTCTGTGCCAGACTGAAAAGCACAATTGCGTTCAAAACCAAAGATGACAAAAAGGGGCACGTGGCATAAGGTGCATACACTTTATAGTGTTAGCCGCTGATCCCAAACCCTGTAACTTTGATTTTGAAAAGCACATACAGTAGAAGGTGGGAACATGCTGAAGGGCAGAATTGCATTGCTCAAATTATAGACACACATTCGTAAACAGACACACAGTCGGTTTCTTGTTGTTTGTTAAGAGGATTTACTGGTTCAAACAACTTGTTGAGTTATCTTCAAATTCACCCTGGTGAGCTCAGATTCTGATGATGGAAATCATAAAGCGGAATAAAAAGTCAATACTCCCTGAGCTGAAGTTGTTCAGGTTGCTTCATTTTCTGTGTTTCACCTCACATCATTACCTTGATGTCGACTGTTGTTTGACTTATTTTTCAAATGAAGTAGTTAAATAATGAATGGAGCATTGGATACAAATCTGATTAAATAAAAACATTTATAGAGCTTGTAGATGTCTATTGTTTAGTTGTACTTTGTGATGTTGGTATTGCACCACACATTTTTGAAAGTTTCTTGGTCTTATGTTCGTGCAACTCACCCAGTTTTTTCTCTGTTTTTCCATGCTTGACTCTTGGGTGAACAGACTCCACTTGAGGTCGCTCAGCAGGCGGTCGATGCAGACGTGCACTGTGTCGGGGTCAGCACGCTGGCAGCAGGACACAAGACCCTGGTACCGGAGCTACTCAAGGAACTACGGAAGCTGAACAGGCCAGATATCCTGGTCATCTGTGGAGGTGTCATCCCACCACAGGTAACCTTTGACTTTTATATCATATGTTATATTATATTATATCATAAATATCATGGTGGGAATAATAATCGATATCTTGTTACATGGCGCTTGGTAGACATTGACCTACCTTCTGTGTTTTCATTGTCTCTTCAATTCCCCTCACCAAGAAGGTTATGTTATCGGTTCAGTTTGTTTGTCTGTTTTTCAGAAGGTTTGCGTAAAAAATGACTGCCCACGTTTTTATTAAACTGGATCTAAGGATGTAGCGTGGGCCAAAAAAGAAGCCATTAAACTTTGGGGAAAGTGAAAGCATTTGATGAATGGAAACGGCCTTCAATGTTGTCTGCGATGTGGACTCTTAGCACCAAAGTGTTCTAGGGTTCCTATGCCTACAAAGACTGAACAATACTGTATCTATACCATACAAATGGAAACAACCTTGGCTGAGGTTGGCGCTCTGACAGTATCCTTCTCCTTTGAATCAGGTTTTACTCTTTTGTGCATGCTTGAATTTGTAGTTCATGCAATAGTAACTGAGTGTTAAAGTGTACTGTAAGCAGGTGTAGGGACAGATAGCAAGGTATTTTTTGCCTGTATTTGTCAGGCTGATGTTTAAATGTAGACCTGATGTTTGAACAAAGTAAGTAAAAGCATCACACTTTCCCAGTACATGTGAGGAATTTTCAATAACCAAACTGTAAAATGATTATAAATAATTAAACCCAAGGTTTCTTTTATATCTTCTAATGAGCCTGAGAAAGGCGTTGAGATGCTGGTGTATGTTGGAATTAGGGCTGGGCGATTTTTTCGGTTTTAACGATTAATTTGCATTTTTACTTTCCTACGCTTTGTGAAATGGCTGTACCGAAAAATCGCGATTTAAAAAATGTCTAGACTCCGCAGATTTGTTTTGCTTTAAGGGACTCCGTAGTAGCTTACTCTCTCACTTTCCAGAATGCGCACAAAACTCGGCCACATTGCCTGTGACTACCCGATCTGCAGCTCTGCCCGATCTGCTGTTGTTATGCTGTGTTCGTTATTCTCGCGTCCAGGAGAGAAGCTTTAAAAGGAGACTAAATGGAGTCTCCCACGTCTGTAAACAAACGACACTGACAGTGTCGTCTACCTCCCAGTCAGAGCAGGAAAAATTGAAGCTGAGCTGTCATCCTATTTGTTGTCGTCTGAGACAGACCCTGATACAGACCCACTGCAGTGGTGGAAGCTACATGAAGCTAACTTCCCAAGACTGAGTAATCTGGCCAATAAATATCTCTCCATTCCTGCCACAAGTGCCCCTTCGGAAAGGGTTTTCAGTACGGGGGGTAACATTGTAACATGCCAAAGAGCATGCCTCAAGCCAGAGGCAGTAGACAGGCTTGTCTTCCTCGCGAAAAACCTGTAGACAACTTTCTAGAAAGTTAAAGGGATGTTATTTTGTTTGAGGGTATTTTTTTATTATTCATTTCATTATCATTATTTATTATTTGTTGTATTTCATTTTACACGTTTTTTCAGGGATGGCCTACAAGAGATTTTTTTTCCAGTTTGATTTAAAAATAATCTTTGCACATTAATGACAGCCAAGTGCCGTGGTGCTGTTTTTATTTTTATTTTTTATTCTTGAACAACTGATTTGTTCACATAAGCCTAGACTACTTGGTAATCTCATTTATTTGTATTGTGTTAATAAAGAAAATATGTATTTAAATTTTGCCTTGGTCTGGTTCGTTTAGAAAAAAACAGAAACAAATCGAGGTTTAAATCGAAAATTGTCCATTAGTTAGAAAAAAATCGAGATTTTATTTTTAGGCCAAATCGCCCAGCCCTAGTTGGAATACATCATTCCACACAGGGAGCTGGTAATCTTGTCATTAATCACCACGTTGTAGAACTTCAGCTGTGCCTTTTAGAAGCTGCTTGAAAATATCTCGACAGCTATTCTAGAGAAGCTTAGTTCTTAAAGCCTCCGACATGAAAAACACACGTAAAAGGATGTCATCCCGCTGTCAATTGGAAAAAGATCCAATCTGATGTAATGATCATCATTCCTTCTCTAGACTAGAGGATGTCCTTGATTACATGCAGTGCTGTCTCATTTCCTGTCATCCTGTTCCTATCAATCCCATTTCTCTGCAAACACATTTCATCCCTTTGCTTTTGAGGATACGTCTAGTTGAGTCTGTGAAGCTTAATTGACAACCTAATTACATATATGCACGTTCTTTACATATACTGTATAGAGCTGACTTTTTCATTCACTGCAGTTCATATACTGTTTTCCACCTGTGTGTACGCAGGACTATGAGTTCTTGTACCAGAGTGGCGTATCCGCTATTTTCGGCCCAGGAACCAGGATCCCACAAGCTTCCGTGGACGTTATCGACAACATCGAGAAGAGCCTGGGAAAAATTCGACAGGCCATGTGAACTCAAGCTAAAAATAAAAAAATGGTCTGTTCATGTTGTATCAATGACAAATCAACAGAACGCTCACACTTCTGAAAATAATCTGTTGGACTTGTTGCATAGGATTGTAAGTGAGTGACATTCCCAATCATGAGAACACAGCATTTACAGCATTAAACAAATCTGTTGGTGTCATGGTTGTATTTACATTGCATTCTATGTTTATGACATGTGATTACTTATAGTATCCTCACAGTTTGCCTTTTGCAGTCTTGATACTACTACATCACTTTTACATTTGCATCCTTTGCAGCCTGTGTGGAAATTGCTGTGGTTGAATGATTATTAATATCCTAGAGATTCAAGAATATGAGAAGGATGTTTTTGTTAATACTATGGAGTTTGATAGGAAATACTTCTGATAGATATTAGAGTATGTTAGGTTTTTTTCCCCACAATAAATAAAACATTCTCTTTAATCATTTTAAACAACATTTCATAGAAACATTGGCTTGAGATGAAATGTGCGGATTAGATTTTCTTTTTAAAACATTACATCTAAGCCCTATACACCCACTTGGAATGTAATACTTTGGATTGAGGAATATGTGTGTTTCTCAATCACGTAATAGGGTGCTATTAGTGCAGTGGAGATGAAAAGATAGATCTTTACATCAAAACAAGCCCCTCATCACCCTGGGTTTTTTCTCATGGATATAATCAACTTATAAGTGTTCTTCTGTTCTGTCTTGTTTGTCTATGTTTAATTCATTCAACTTCTGTTAAAAAATAAAACCACAAAACAGTAAATGGCAATTTATTTGGAAATTGTATTTTTGTATTTGTGATTCTCAATCAGATTAAGCGTCTTTGGTCAAAATAAAGTAATGGAAATGTGCCTCAATATCTATGGTATTAACACTGCACACATCGCATATTGAATCATTTTAGAAGCTAGATATCAGACAGACTTTTTATACAAATTGTGCCATTCTGTACCCTATATGTTGCAACACCCCCTTTCCTGTCAAGCTATATCTATATCCAAGGATCTGAATGGCAATATATGCAACAAATCTGGTGAGATGTTACGAAAATTAGGAAGATGATTTATTTTGACACCGTTTTGACATTTACTTAAAGGTGGGGTAGGTAAGTTTGGGAAACCGGCTCGAGATACACTGTTATATTCCATGGAATGCTCTTAACATCCCGATGGCAATGAATATCTTCAGTGCTTTGACAAAAAAATCCATTAAAAAAAAAATGTCATCTGTGGAACCCGTAATACCGTAAAAAGCACGACCAATCCGTTTAGCCGGGCCGGATATATACAAATCGGGTTGGTCCGGTCCAAGGTCTTTAAGTATCAATTTATCTCCCAAACTTCTCCTTTGGAAAGGATTGGAGAGTAGCTCTTGCACGGAATTGGGTGCGGACCGAGGTCCGGCGACTCCACCTGCACACCATTCTAAATACTGCGTCACCTTGGTCACTCACGAGTCTAAAAAACAACTCACGTCACGTAAGCAACGTGGGCGCCAACGTGAGCGCCCTCGTGACCAAAATATTTGATGGCGCTGATTGGCTGAAATTATGTTTCGGCGGCACAGTTTACTATTGAGACTTTTGCAACGTGCTGGTTGCTGCTGTTTGGCTCGGGGGCTCCGCCCGGTAATGATAAACTAATGCCATGGGCAAGGCCAGGCAGGAAACATGTGACTTATCAGTAACTTTAGACATCGTAACACAATTTTAAACGAGATTTTATTGTAGATTATACATTTTACTGATACCAATTGTATGATATTTACCTTGTTCATTAAAAATAAAAATAATTTTTTTTTTTTTATTTAATTTTTTTTTTTAATGTGGTAAGAGGTGGGGCGGCGCCCCTAGCGCCCCTATGGGCCGGCCGCCACTGGAAAGAGCCCTGGACATAGGCCACCATATAAAAAGTGTGCAAATGTATTTAGTATCCTATCCATGTGAACATGTTTTAATTGGGGGGTGGACCATAGACTATAAGGGGTGGACCTAACATTCTCTAGGAGGGTCCAGGGGCATGATCCCCCGGGACGATTTTTTTAAATATTGAAGTTAAATGCATCAATCTGGTGCACTTTGAGAGCAAAATTAAGGGATCTATCGATACCTCTCTTGTTGAACTTTCCTGTCGGCTCCCAGACCGTGGTCGAGGAAACAGGGGGGGATGACTCTCTGTCTTCTCCCAGGGCAGAAGCAACACGCTTCGGATTCAATAACCCACTTTATGAAATCACTGGAGAGAGGCGAGCCCGTCTTGGGAGGTCGTTGTATTTATTCAGTTCTTCCGTTTCACAAGATACATCACAGACCTATGCTTTTTCCCGCTGCCTCGTTTCATTTCCAGAAAAACATACCGCTCGCTCACTCTCGCTCTACCATACCCACTCTCACATGCACGCGCCACACCCCTCTCTTAATGGGGTAGCGATCTCACTCTTCATGACCCTAATGTCATAACACTCTCATCACCCATATGAAACAGAACTGTAAACAGATTTACTTTTTCTTTATGCATATTTTATAAATAACTCCCCTTTTAAACTGTATTATTGTTTTACTGTCCTATTTCATACCTGTTTTTCATGTATTCTCTATAACTATAATGATCATATCAGGGTTGCCAACTTTGGGTACCTGGCTGGAGTGAGATTTTGATATCATGGGTTTAATTACATGTATGCGTACGAAATGACTGCTATCGTGTCAACAGCGGGACCTTAGCATATATATAGGATATATATACAATATACAAATACACAATATTGGACACAGACTATAAAGGGCACAAAGTTTCATTCACTGATGAAAGTCAAACACATGTTTGTTTCCACTGTTTTATTGTGTGCCTGATAAGCAATTAATTGACTTATCGTACGATAAATAAAAATGAACTCGATAAATTGCCATTTACATGAGGATGTGACTAGCAGTTTGAAAGGATGTACTTGAATTATTATTATATATTATCATTATGTCAGGGGTCTAAAATGGTCATACAACAGTGCCGACAATATTATCGTTTATCGCAATAATTTCCGGGAAAATGTATCCAACAAAATTAATTATCGTGCAGAGGCCTATACATGAAACACACACACACACAAACAAATCTAGACTTACTCCAAACTGCCAAATGTGTTAATTAACACACTCTATTTTGGCCTAGTAGAACAATAAGCTGCAGACTTTTACTTTTTTATCATTTCTACTGGATCTTAGATCTGCGCATGCGCAATACGGGTCGGCAGTTGCCAGAGAGTATTTTTGTTGGGTAATCTATGGTAGGGCTAACCCATACAGTGGTGGGGCTCAAGTCAGTATTTGCAATGTAATTACATACACGCTCCCCTTGACAGTAAAACGCCACGCGTGAGGTTTAGATTATTTCCCTGTCTCAATCCAAATTGAACTGTATGAAATAAAAAGGCACATTTGTCTTGTAGTAAATAAAAAGGGCGACCTGGAGCCAATCCTGCTATTTCCCCACAGGTGAAAGAGTTAACATGCTGAAAACCCAACCCCTGCAGGGGGGTCTGGGGGGATTCTCCACCAGGAGATTTTTTGAAATACTAACATAAAATACACATTCTGGTACTCTCTTGAGAAGAAAGATAAATAAATCTATTACTACACGACATATTTAAAAAAAAATGAATGCCATTTTAGTTTTGTGTTACTTTGTTCTGAAAGCTGAACCTGCCCCAGATAGCAAAAAGTCATTGAATCAACATTGAGATATGGTCACGCTGAAGATTGTGTTCAACATTGAAGTCAGACATTGAAACAATAGTGAATGTGCTCGTTATGATCAGCATTGAAACAACATTGAATTTTCAACCAATCCCAACAATGAATCAACCTTGATTCAATTACGATATGATCAACATTGAAAGAATGTAGAATTGGATCAACATTGATTCAACTATATTATGCATTGCATTATACATTGAAACAATGTTATTATCAGATTGCAAAAAGTCATTGAATCAACATTGAGATATTGTCATGCTGAAGATTGCAATTGATGTCAGACATTGAAAATAAACTAAAATGAACAAACAAAAAAAGAGACCATTACTTATTCAGTTATTTATTCAGATTCAATGATATGAACATCTTGAACATCTTTTGTCCACAAGCACGAAAAACATTGTCTCTTAAGGTCCCATGTCATGCTTTCCTGGTTATCACCCGTCCCCTTGTGTGTTATGTAGCTTTTTCTGCATGTAAACGGTCTGCAGTCACAAACCCTCAAAGTACACCCTGTAGCGAGTAAAACTAACAGAGAAGACCTGTCTATGCTGCCCCAGAACTTCTTCCTCAGTAAAGTGACGTAATGGGCATAGTGGTGGGACACACACACTCTCACTCAGCCTTATCTTTTCTGCTAATATGGCCTCAATCAGCTAGCATTGAAGGCTGTACTTGACAGCAGGCCCGGCGCCACGAGGGGGTAAAAGGGGGCATTGCCCCCTCAGTTGTATTCTTTGCCCCCTCACTTGAGCATCATTCATCCATCAAAAAGTACAATAAATGTCACAATTATTAAATAACTTTAAATAATTATTTCCCCCAATACACATTACTATGTTTCGATCAGATATGTGGTCAGGCAGTCAAGCAACGTGTAAAAAAGCCTCAACCCCAAGCAGTGGCGGCGTCAGAGTATTTTTGTTGGGTAATCTATGGTAGGGCTAACCCATACAGTAGTGGGGCTCAAGTCAGTATTTGCAATGTAATTACATACATGCTATATCGCCTCCCTTGACAGTGAAACACCACGCGTGAGGTTTAGATTATTTCCCTGTCTCAATGAAAATGGAACTGTATGAAATAAAACGGCACATTTGTCTTGTAGTAAATAAAAAGGGATCACTGTGAACGTGACGTATGATAGTACACGTTGAAGATCCAATGGGGATACTGAATGGCGGTTCCGACTGATCTCAATCAGTAATGCATGACGCAGACCCAACGTTTCGTTGCTCTGATTGGCTGTAGGTCTGACTCTATTCAATCAATTAATCAATCAATGTTTATTTATATAGCCCAATATCACAAATGTTACATTTGTCTCAGTGGTCTTCACAGTTTGTACAGAATATCAGTATGACAATACGACACCCTCTTTCATTAGACCCTCACATCGTACAAGGAAAAACTTCCGGAGAAAACCCACAGTTTCAAGGGAAAAATGGGAGAAACCTCAGGGAGAGCAACAGAGGAGGGATCCCTCTCCCAGGATGGACAGACGTGCAATAGATGCCGTGTGTAAATTGAAAAGATAATACATTTGCAACATAGGTAATCCAAATGTTTGGAAATGCATGTTTGTATAATAGGAAGATGAATCCACGGGGATATCCATCCAGGACCTATGATCCAGGACCACAGCCACGACTCGCGATCCAGGGCTCGCGATCCAGGACACAGGACCGCAGGATCATCCATGACTCCGGATCCCGACGTATATAGACACCAAAAAGAAAGAAATTTGGGAAAGCTGGGTTAATCGGAACATGAGAGTACACAGGTATAGACAGAGAGAAGGAAGAAGTAAGATGTCCCCCGACAAACTAAGCCTATATCAGCAAAACTAGGGGCTGAATCTACTCAGCCCTAACTATAAGCTTTATCAAAAAGGAAGGTCTTAAGCGCACTCTTAAAAACGGATAGGGTGTCTGCCGCCCGATCAAAATGCCTCTGAAATGCAATTCAAATTGCATTTCAGAGGCATTTTGATCTAACCAAGGCCGCGCTGATATTATAACGCCAGAGAATTTCCACACCTTTAGTGTATACAACTCCCCCACTACTTAGACTATTCCTTGCACCCCTCTTCTAGCATAAC